TTTTCAGCCCCCTTTTCAATGAAGGAGAGGATCCTTCTGTGTCCCCTTGTGTGTGAGTGTATGTGTGTGTGACAACAAATCATCTTATTGCTGATAATAAGATGTCTGTGTGATCAACATTTTGACTAATCATTACTGGTGTTAATAATGGCATTGTCATTTTGAAATCCCATTATCAGTGTAATTGTCACGAGTTGTGCCCCTTCCTTCTGCTGTGTCCTCTGTGTATATAAACCTGTGGAGTAACTTGTGCACTCCACTACTCTTGTGTTTCTATTTTTGATATGTATTCTAAAACAGTCTAGCACAGCTGTTTTTAGAAATACAATTCTATAACTTACTTTTAAAATTGTGTAGCAGTGATAAGTTATGTTGGGGTACTTTCCATTATGATTTTTTTTTAAGTACATTTTAAGCTGTGCTTAAACTTATGGGTAAATCAACTTAGTGTATCTTACTTCTGAGTAGACATGCATAGGATAGCTCTATTTAATCCTTTTATTCTACAACAATTAACTTATAACCAAGCTTTCCATAAGCGGATAGGATTGATTTGGAGAACATTTTTAAAAGTATGTTTTAAAAAAAAACAGCTTCCTGACCCTGAAATATAGGAACAAAAAATTAATGTTCCTTAATATATTTTCCTTTCTGCTACTGTTAACCACAAAGTCAGTGATGCTTTTTTTAAAAAAAGGCTTCCAGCTTCCTCAGATTTCACGTTTTCATTGCATAGCTGATCATTTAGGGAACAGGCTTGTTCCAGACAGCTTTAATTAAACTGTGCTGCAAAACCAGATATAGATCAATGGAAATGATCCATAACAAGAGGCTAATCATGTATTTAGCAGTGTTCAGTCCAGTTCAATCACCTTCTCCAGTTTCTGTGGCTTTGCATTCATGTGGCAAAGGCTGAGTGTGTGAATGTATTCTCTCTCTCTCTCTCTTAATCCATCCCATTAGTGGCCATATGCCTGGGCTTCAAGGGAGACAAGACCTGTCTGCAATCTGCCAGGGATTTAGAGACATCAATAATTTGTGAACAGTCATGTTGGTACTGGTCGAAGGGTTAAGTGCTCGGCACGCCAGGGGCACCTCTTTTGGGACTGGAACTCTTAGTTGACTGTTAGGAACCTGATCCCCTGTGAAGCTTCCCTTCAAAGCACATGCTGCATGTCAAATCCATACAGCTGAAGCAATGGAGCTTTATTAGCTCTGGGATTTAAAGGCCTGTACTAAGTGATATAACAGTGTGTTTGGTTTATATGCAGGGTGGAGTAGCAGAGAAAGGAGCAAAATGATGACACTGGAAAGAAGGTGGTGCTCAGATAATTGTATTATTTCTGCAATGAGGGGTGGTTTTTTTTCACTTTAATTTACGAAGATATTTTTCAGGCTAGTCCTCATGATTTTCTGCTAGGAACAGCAAATGCTAGGAACCTTCTTCAATGGTAAATAGATTATTTGTCTAGAATTTGCATTGAAACAAATGCTTGTTGTACCGTGAGGTGCTGAAATGTTAATGGGACAGTACAGGTAAAAGCATATTTGGGACTTTCATAAAAAGCAAGATGAAACTGATATATCTACAGTATATCTATATCCTCGTCCACTGCAGAATATAAAGTAGCTACTTGAGCTGCTGAGATACTGTAGCTTACTGAGTTAGTGCACTAGGGCTTGGGAGTTCATTTCCCCACTGTCTCATGTAGGAGAAGAGTCAGCAGGTGTGGCCTTAAGTAAGCTACATGATCCCAAAGCACTTTCAGAAGCGAAGACTGGTAAACTACATCTCTGAGTACTGAAGGGTAACCATAAGTCATGATCAATCTGATCATGTTTTTATTATTGTTTTACTTTATGATAACATATCCCATCAAAATAGGAGTTTTAAATGTCAGAATGTTAAAATTTCTTTCATCTGAACCTCACATTATCATCATCATAATCGTGTACTGTCAATCAATTCTGACTTATGGTGAATCTCTTCAGGATTTGCAAGGTACAGAGAGCACTCAGAAATTTCTTTCATCTGAACCTCACATCATCATCATCATCATCATAGTCAAGTCAATTCTGACTTATGGTGAATCTCTTCGGGATTTGCAAGGTACAGAGAGCACTCAGAATTGGTTTACTCTTCCCTTCTTCTGGGGGCTGCCCTGGATCTGTGCAGTTTGCCAAAGGCCACTTAGTTAGCTTTAAATGTACACTAACTAGGATCTGCCTTTGGATCATTTCATTCTCTGATAGATAGATAGATAGATAGATCATGTACACTGACTGGGATCTGCCTTCGGATCATTTCATTCTCTGCCAGATAGGTCGGTGGGTGGGTGGGTAGATGGATAGATGGATGGATGGATGGATGGATGGATGGATGGATGGATGGA